TAAAATACCTAGGAATAAACCTACCTAAGGAGACAAAAGACCTGTATGCAGAAAACTATAAGACACTGCTGAAAGAAATTAAAGATGATACCAACAGATGGAGAGATATTCCATGTTCTTGAACTGGAAGAATGAACATTGTGAAAATGACTCTACTACCCAAAGCAGTCTACAGATTCAATGCAATCCCTGTCAAACTACAAATAGCCTTTTTCACAGAAGTAGAGCAAAAAATTTCACAGTTTGTATGGAAACACAAAGGACCCCGAATAGCCAAAGCAATCTTGAGAAAGAAAAACAGAAGTGGAGGAATCAGGCTCCCTGACTTCAGACTATACTATGAAGCTACAGTAATCAAGACAGTATGGTACTGGCACAAAAACAGAAACATAGATCAATGGAACAGGATAGAAAGCCCAGAGATGACCCCTCGCACATATGGTCACCTTATATTTGATAAAGGAGGGAAGTATATACAATGGAGAAAAGACAGCCTCTTCAATAAGTGGTGCAGGGAAAACTGGACAGCTACATGTAAAAGAATGAAATTTGCACACTCCCTAACACCATACAGAAAAATAAACTCAAAATGGATTAAAGACCTAAATGTAAGGCCAGACACTATAAAACTCTTACAGGAAAACATAGGCAGAACTCTCTATGACATAAATCACAGCAAGATCCTTTTGACCCACCTCCTAGAGAAATGGAAATAAAAACAAAAATAAACAAATGGGAACTAATGAAACTTCAAAGCTTTTGCACAGTAAAGGAATCCATAAAGAAGATAAAAAGACAACCCTCAGAATGGGAGAAAATATTTGCATATTAAGCAAGTGAAAGAGGATTAATCTCCAAAATATAGAAGCAGCTCATGCAGCTCAATATCAAAAAAACAAACAACCCAATCCAAAAATGGGCAGAAGACGTAAACAGACATTTCTCCAAAGAAGATACACAGATTGCCAACACACACATGAAAGGACACTCACCATCACTAATCATTAGAGAATCAATAGAGAAATGCAAATCAAAACTACTATGAGGTATCACCTCGCACCAGTCAGAATGGCCATCATCAAAACATCTACAAACAATAAATGCTGGAGAAGGTGTGGAGAAAAGGGAACCCTCTTGCACTGTTGGTGGGAATGTAAATTGATACAGTATGGAGAACAGTATGGAGGTTCCTTAAAAAACTAAAAACAGAACTACCATATGACCCAGCAATCCCACTACTGGGCATATACCCTGAGAAAGCCGTAATTCAAAAAGAGTCGTGTACCACAATGTTCATTGCATCTCTATTTACAATAGCCAGGACATGGAAGCAACCTAAGTGTCAATTGACAGATGAATGGACAAAGAAGATGTGGCACATACATACAATGGAATATTACTCAGCCATAAAAAAGAAACACTATTGAGTTATTTGCAGTGAGGTAGATGGAAGTAGAGACTGTCATACAGAGTGAAGTAAGTCAGAAAGACAAAAACATATACCATATGCTAACACATATGTATGGAATCTGAAAAAAAAAAAAAGGTTCTGAAGAACCTAGGGGCAGAACAGGAATAAAGATGCAGATGTAGAGAATGGACTTGAGGACACGGGGAGGAGGAAGGGTAAGCTGGGAGGAAATGAGAGAATGGCATGGACATATATATACTACCAAATGTAAAATAGATAGCTAGCGGAAAGCAGCCTCATAGCACAGGGAGATCAGCTTGGTGCTTTGTGTCCACCTAGAGGTGTGGGATAGGGAGGGTGGGAGGGAGATACAAGAGGGAGGAGACATGGGGATAAATGTATATGTATAGCTGATTCACTTTGTTATAAAGCAGACACTAACACACCACTGTAAAGCAATTACACTCCAATAAAGATGTTAAAAAAAAATAAAGTCATTTGTGGAAAGAGGTGTGAATAGCTAGTTCAATAAATAAAGGTTTTGCATATTTTGAAATAGGATATGATACCAAAATAAGCAGTTAGTTGTTTTACAAAGTTCATTCAAACACCTTTCTTCATCACTTCATGAATGAGCACCAGCCACCAGGTAATTTTCTGTACATCTTTTCCAGCTAATATTCAATTGTAAGTGCAGAACTAAATGAATTTGTTTATGTTGTCAGTTTTGGGTACCTGATGTTATAAACCTGGAAACATGATGTCAACATGCTCTCTTTAGGAGTTTGATTATATGACTTATTTTATGAAGCAAGAAATAATAAAATTTTTAGTTATTTTAATCAAGAAACATTTGAATGCTCATAAGTTAAAGATATTTAGGTGACAAGGCAATAAAGCCTATGAAATGAAATGGACCAGATAACTGTTTAAAAGAATACCCATGTGTCAAGTTGCATAAATAACATGGCCTAGATGTGAGGATTAATTTTCTCTCAGATAACATGTTATCTTGTTTTAATGTGATTAAAAATCCCCACTGGGCTTGATGCTAATCTTTCCTCCAAAGGCTTGGATCTTATCAAATTTGGAGCTACTCTGGAAATAAGAGAGTGCTCTACAGAAGAACTCTCAAGAGCCGGTATCAGTTTTTTTAATCTGTTTCTGGGCTAATGAAGAGAGTGGTTGAGTTTACACAGATTATCATTTGTGGCTGTCTCATCAACTTGACATTGAACAGGGGGAGAACTCAAAGCTCAAGGAGGCTCAGACAAGGTCAGACAGGTAGAAATTGGGAAAACATTTTTAGTTTTTTGCCTTAAGATGCTTTAGGTTTTTTCTTTTCTTTTTTTTTTTTTTAAATCTTCTCCTTCTGATGTCCCTAAAATTTCTCTTTCTAACCCAGAGGCTTACAGTATATAAAGAGTCTTTGCTTTTAAAAATTCAACATGTTATTCATTGAAAAAAACTTTTTTTTTTTTTTTTTTTTTTGCGGTACGTGGGCCTCTCACTATTGTGGCCTCTCCTGTTGCGGAGCACAGGCTCCAGACGCGCAGGCTCAGTGCCCATGGCTCACGGGCCCAGCCGCTCCGCAGCATGTGGGATCTTCCCGGACCAGGGCACGAACCCGCGTCCCCTGCATCGGCAGGCGGACTCTCAACCACTGCGCCACCAGAGAAGCCCCCAAAAAAACCATTTATTGAGTGTCTGTTATATGCCAGTTACTGGGCATAGGGACTGGGAATGTAGCTTTGAATGAGGACCATGAGGTGCTTGTCCTTCTGAGGCTCACAGTGGTGGTGACGTTGGCACTAACTTGACACTACACAAGAACAGTGAGGGCCCTGAAAATGTCTTTCCTCTTTAAATACTTTTTATCACTGCAACCTTCTCTTACGATACTTATTGCCTGTATTTAAGTCCTCCTGACACTTTATATTTGAATATAATGAATATTCATCTATCTATTCATTATTCTTTCAACAAATCATTTGAGTGACTCTATCATCTTTCTAACAATTGAGTGATAGGAAGATGAATTAGTACTGCCCTCGAAGACCTTAATAGACATTTCTCCAAAGAAGACATACAGATGGCCAGTAGGCATGTGAAAAGCTGCTCAACATCACTAATTATTAGAGAAATGCAAATCAAAACTACAATGAGGTACCACCTCACACCAGTCAGAATGGCCATCATCAAAAAGTCTACAAACAATAAATGCTGGAGAGGGAGTGGAGAAAAGGGAGCCCTCCTACACAGTTGGTGGGAATGTAAGTTGGTACAGCCACTACAGAAAACTGTATGAAGATTCCTCAGAACACTAAAAATAGCATTACCATATGATCCAGCAATCCCACTCCTGGGAATATACCCAGACAAAACTATAATTCAAAAAGATACATGCACCCCTATGTTCATAGCAGCACTATTCACAACAGCCGAAACATGGAAACAACCTAAATGTCCATCGACAGATGAATGGATAAAGAAGATGTGGTACGTATATACAATGGAATACTACTCAGCCATACAAAAGAATGAAATCATGCCATTTGCAGCAACGTGGATGCAACGAGAGATTATCATACTAAGTGAAGTAAGTCAGAAAGAGAAAGACAAATACCATATGGTATCACTTATATGTGGAATCTAAAATATGGTACAAATCAAACTATCTACAAAACAGAAAGTCTCACAGACAGAGAACAGACTTGTGGTTGCCAAGGGGAAGGGGGGAGGGAGAGGGATGGACTAGGAGCTTGGGGTTAGCAGATGCAAACTATTATATATAGGATGGATAAACAACAAGGTCCTACTGTATAGCACAGGGAACTATACTCAAAATCCTGTGATAAACCATAATGGAAAAGAATAAAAAAAAAAAGAATGTGTGTATGTGTATAACTGGATCACTTTGCTGTACAGCAGAGATTGGCACAGCATTGTAAATCAACTATACTTCAATTAAAAAAAATTTTTTTAATTGGTCCTGCCCTCAAGCATCTTATAGTCTAGTGTGGGAGATAATATATGTAATACATGATGACGATGATACCACTCCATCCGAGTTATGGAAGTTCAGATAAAGGAGGGATTATTTCCAGTTGACAGGGTCAGGAAAGTCTTCATGGATGAAGAGGGCTGTAAATGTAGCCTTATGATTAGTGAGGTTATGAACACATGGCAAAAAGAGAAAGGTAGCCCATGTAAAGGACAGGAGAACAAAGGCATAAAATTGGGAACTCAGAGACAATCAACAAAGCAAGAGCAAGTATTCAGTTTGGCTGACTTATCTCAGTTTTGATGGGTCAGTTGGGAAGAGTAAAGAGGTATAAAGAGAAATAGAGGAGCATTAAAAGCAACTAGTAGATACTTGTTGCCATGGACCACCACAAAATCCTCACGTATTTGGAAGCTTCTTTAATGAGACACACTTTGAAACTGTAGGTGTTCTACAACCACCCATTCCATGGTGCTGGTCCTCTAAGTTCCAATTCTCTTACACTGTCTAGATATTCAGGAATGTACAATATTAAACATGATAGATACTGGGGCCAAATAATCAACAATAGCTGGAAACACGTACCTTGGAAAGACGTCCTCACTTTGAAATTGAATCCCAGACAAAACTGGGATTTCAGGTCTGTTCTGAAGGTCGAACTTGTACAAAGTTCACCAAAGTTCACTTCTAGGGATCCTGTAGAGAATTAGGTGTAAATCAGAACCAGCTGAGGTGGCAGCCTGCATACATACATTCATAGGTACAGACAGACATCCTTCAGTACTCAGGTGGAAACCATATGAAATGCCATGGCAATGCACAGCTTTGGCCAGAAGCCCAGTCAGTTCAGTGTGTTCCATCTGAACCTGAGCTTACTGCAGGGTGCATATCCTGCCCACAGAAAATAAGAAGCTTGAAGAAATAGGTGGGCCCAAACTATTGGATTGTCCTTACTGCCCAAACCTACATTCTGTAAAATTTATGACATATGTGATCACCTCACATTTCCATGTAAATTAGAGCATGAAAGGGGAAGCTGAACCTGCTGGGGCTTCCATTATTGAATTTTTCCAGTTGGCATCAATGTCTGTGCCTAGGTGGAATTATGACAAAAAGAAAAGAATGAGAGGGGGACGATATCGTCTTATCTTATTTTCACAGGATCTGTTTCACTGTAGGTTATCAATTATGTTAGCATTTTGATTCACCTGTAAAATGTGTACATTTAACCACAATTTTGAATTGTTTGGTGAGTGGTATTTAACTTACAAAAGAATAAAACTGTGACAACTGATGCCTTTAGTGTACTTTTCCTGGCTAAATAAATCTTTAAAAAAGTTCAGCATTGCCTCTATTGGGACTTTTCTCCTTTATACAAGCCAAAGGTACAAATTTTAGAAACAAACAGATGCTAATGTTTCCTATTTGAATATACTTGAATAACTGAGATGATGCTTTGGTACTTTGTTTAAGAACATTAGACAGAAAGTTGTGTGCAGTATGGCTTAACGTGTATTTATCACATCAACTGAAAACGTATTTGAGCTTTGTATCTTCACCCCCTGCATAGTACAATAAAAAGTTACTGAGTCCTAAAATGGTGCTAAAAAATTTTAAAAAGCACTCCATCGTCACATGAGTGAAATGTACAAAGGAGGGCGATGTGTTTTGATGTTGTAAAACAAGCTTGAAAGGCAGGCATCAAAATGAATCTATTTTTAAAGGCCCGAATTTCATACAGAGTGATAATGCGCATTTTATTGCTCATTTGCAAGGTCCGGTACAAAGGAGTACACTATCCCTCTCCCACCAGGCTGTAGTCATTCAGTACATTTCAGACATGTTGGCTCCAATAGGAAAAAGGAAAGTGCATGTGTTCTAATACACATTATTTCCATATCTAAGATGTCTATCACCATAACAACAAAGTTTATTTATATTTTTCCAAGTGACTTGCCTTCTTAGTTTAAGCCATCAGGTTAAAATGAAAAAAAAAAATGAGGAAAAGAAAGACCACATTTCCTTTCAAAGAAAGGTGTAATCATTGATTTTTCTTGCAATGTTCCACAAGAAAGTGGCACCACTGAGTGATATGTGCACCCCAGGGCTAGCAGCTGGAGGGCAAAAACCACTTTTTATCCATGATTGACAAATAATACATAATGAGAAGAGAGAGGCAATTCAAGTTTTAAATTTCACTCTCTCTGGATTTTCAGGGCAGCTGGGTACTGCTGTTCTCACTTGGTAACCTTTGAGGTGCTGCCAGGAAAGGGGACCTGAGTGACAATTGTTTCGCTCCTCCTACAATCCCCCAAAGCTCTATAAATATGTGTGGCTTGCTCCTTCAAAGAGGATCCAGCTGCTAACAATTCCACTGTTTCTCCCCGAAATGAAAATCCTGGGGGTCTGGAAATGTATTGCATGGTTATAATGACCACAGTAGAGTAAGGCTGAGATTTAAAATCCCTACAAGTGGCCTTGCAAGTGGGGAGTCCATTGCTAACTGATGGCTAAGCAGTTGGAGAGGGAGGAGTAGAGTCTACTGAAAAGAAAAATCACATCAGAGCTCTGTCGCTTTCATAAATGAGTGCTGTAGATATTCAAAATTTTTACATTTCACAAAATTAAGACATGCTTAATGTAAATAATCTAGGAAACATGTAAGAGAAAAATCTTCATATGAAGTAAAAAGCTAGAGATAGCTGGTGTTAACATTTTTGGTCTCTTTTAGATTTCTTCCTACACCCCCATCTCTATATTTTTTCCGTGTCAGTACTCATATCTGTATCTTTATCTCTCTGTAACTGTATCTACATACAATACATGTCCTTATATACTTGCATTCATCCATCAGTCTAAGTGGCTATGCCATATGGCCTTTCTTCCTAATCCCTCCGCCTCCAACCAAAATTGTGTTCCCTCTGAGTTTTCCATCACAACCACAAATGACGATTCTATCCTTCCAAACAATAGATACTAATCAGGCCTAAAATCTTGGATTCATCCTCTACTTTTCTTTTTCTCTCACGCCCTTTCTACTGCATCAGCATACCTGTTGACTCAATCTTAAGTATTTATTCAGAATCCAACCAGTTGTCATCTCCTCCTTTCTACCACCCTGGTTCAGCCATCATCATCTTTTACATGGATTATTGTGACAGCCTCTTAACTGGTCTCTGTGCTTCTGCTGTGGTCTTCTTCACCTCCAACACGACGGCTAGGCTGAGCCTTGATAAATATGTTAGACCACTCACTCTCCTGCACTGAGATCTCTAATGGCTTCCCATCTCATTCGGAGTAAAGCCCATTGTTGCCAATGGGCAAAACAGTTTTCCACCATACAAAAGAGTCCTACAGAGTGTCTCTGCTCTCCTTAAGTGCCAGTAGGGTCCCGGAGTCCTTGTGACAACTAAAAAAACCTCTCTCCCACATTTCCAGCTGCACCCTAAGGGGGAACTCCCTCCATGTCGGAAAAATATTTTGGCTTCCCGAAACACAATCCTCTCCTAAATCATCTCTACTATTTCCCCTGGCTTACTCTGTTGCAGTTTTGCTGTTCCTTGGGTAGACTAAGAATTTTGCTAACAGGGTGCCTTGCACTTGCTGCTGTATTTACACAAATGTCATCTTCTCAGTGAGGCAGACTTCTCACCCAACACTTCATATCCCCTCACTCTATATTATTTTTGTTCCTTAGCACTAATCACTATTAAACATACTATTGGCTTCCTTATTAATCTTGGTCATTATGGCCAACGTTCTGCCTCACTAGAATATAAACTCCATGAGGGCAGAGGACTGGTCTATTATGTTCACAATGATATCTCAATATTTAGAGCTTTCCTGGCACAAGGTAGGCACTCAATAAATAATGATCATCAGAGATTTAAAAAATAGAACTATTTTAATATATTGTGTATCTGGAGAATTAATAAGTTAATGGTTCTTAATCTTTTTTAGGTCAGGAAACTTTCTGACGATCCAGTGGAAGCTATGAATCCTCTCCCGAGGAAAGTATATATTTATGTGTAGGCATGTGCACTTGAGGGATTCAACATTTCTTTTCCCACAGTATTCTTAAAGACAGATTAAAAAAAACTAACAATAGAGTTGGGTGGATCACTGACAGGTAAATGACTCTTCTCAAAACATATTGAGGGACCAGCTTGAATCTGGAAACCAGGAAGGAGGACCTGAAACAAAGTCCTTTCCTGCTCTGCTTATTTTCTAGTGACTTGGAGGAAATAATTGACTACACATGAAATTTGCAGAGACAGAAATCAAGGAGAGAGCGTAAGTGGAGGCTTCCGGGAAGATGGTGGAAGAGTAAGACGTAGAGATCACCTTCCTCCCCACAGATACACCAGAAATACATCTACACGTGGAACAACTCCTGCAGAACACCTACTGAACGCTGGCAGAAGACCTCAGACCTCCCAAAAGGCAAGAAACCCCCCACGTACCTGGAGGGGATTCAGAGCGCTGCTTAAAGGAGCTCCAGAGACAGGCGCGAGCCGCGGCTAAAAGCGCGGACCCCAGAGACAGGTATGAGACGCTAAGGCTGCTGCTGCTCGCCTGTACGAGCACAGGTCACTATCCACAGCCCACTTCCGGGGAGCCTGTGCAGCCCGCCACTGCCAGGGTCCCGGGATCCGGGAACAACTTCCCCGGGAGAACGCACGGCGTGCCTCAGGCTGGTGCAACGTCATGCCGGACTCTGCCGCCGCAGGCCCGCCCCTCCCTCCGTGCCCCTCCCTCTCCGCGGCCTGAGTGAGCCAGAGCCCCCGAATCAGCTGCTCCTTTAACCCCGTCCTGTCTGAGCGAAGAACAGACGCCCTCCGGCGACCTACATGCAGAGGTGGGGCCAAATCCAAAGCTGAGCCCCTGGGAGCTGTGAGAACAAAGAAGAGAAAGGGAAATCTCTCCTAGCAGTCTCAGAAGCAGCGGATTAAAGCTCCACAATCAATTTGATGTACGCTGCATCTGTGGAATACATGAATAGACAATGAATCATCCCAAATAAAGGAGGTGGTCTTTGAGAGCAAGATTTATGATTTTTTTCCCTTTTCCTTTTCTTGTGTGTATGTGTATGCTTCTGTGTGAGATTTTGTCTATATAGCTTTGCTTCCACCATTTGTCCGAGGGTTCTGTCCGTCAGTTTTTTTTTTTTCTTAAAAATTACTTTTTATTTTAATAACTTTCTTTTATTTTACTTTATCATCATTCTTTCTTTCCTTCCTTCACTCCTTCAGACAACGAATCATCACAAATTGAGGAGGTGGACTTTGAGAGCAAGATTTATGATTTTTTCCCCTTTTCCTCTTTTTGTGAGTGTGTATGTGTATGCTTCTATGTGAGATTTTGTCTGTATACCTTTGCTCCCACCCTTTGTCCTAGGGCTCTATCCGTCCGTTTTTTTTTCTCTTAATAATTATTTTATTTTAATAACTTTATTATATTTTATCTTTATTTTATTTTACTTTATCTTCTTTCTTTTTTCCTTCCTTCCCTCCTTCCTTCCTTCCTTCCTTCCTCCCTCCCTCCCTCCCTCCTTTCTTTCTTTCTTTATTTTTACTTCTACTAATTCTTTCTTTCTACTTTTTCTCCCTTTTATTCTGAGCCGTGTGGATGAAAGGCTCTTGGTGCTGCAGCCAGGAGTCAGTGCTGTGCCTCTGAGGTGGGAGAGACAACTTCAG